CCCCATAAGCATCTGATTTGGGTTTCCCCCACTTATCTCTTGGACGTCGCCCAAAATGCTCATTATTTCGATTCAAGTAATAATACCGCAATAATCTTGTTCTTTTTCTTCAAGATTACATACTATGCTTTTTTTCTTAACAAGATTTGTAGCTATACTACTCATTGTCTCTTGGGCAAGCACGGACCAACGGTGTAATTATGAAACACGCAAAATTATCTCCTACATCTTATACAAACGTTAGATAGCTATGCTATGTATCTATTGTAAAAATATTAAAATCAGGAATTTAATCAGTTACGCTACGGCATTAGTTTTTCATTTAAAAAATCCCACCAACATCAGGGTGAAGCTCAACTGCTGGGTAGATAACGAAATTACTTCACAGTCAAAAGTTCAATGCCCAAAGGGCTCTCTCAGTAGTTTCTACTGGTATGTGGCCCCTTTTCCCTTATTTACACTTCAACTCTATTTGCACACAAGTATTCCCTGCAGAATCGGATATCGCACACCATGTAAATACTTTTAAACCATCTTGTTACCTCCAATTGTTTCTACTATTATCCAGGATGCTTATCACTGAGCAATGCGAGAACCACAAAAGATATTTATAGGCTATATCACAGAAATAGCTGAGAGCTTATATATTGCCTTCCTCGGCCGATTATGGAATAACCTAATCAGATCATTAGGTGTTGGTATAGGAACTGCTTTGGTTGAATTGCCGTGGTATTTGTGTTGACTCTCTTACCTATAGTTCTATAATTTCGTGCTCAAAAGATGTGCTGCTTATGGTAGAAGGGCTTCAAAAGGCGGCCTTGTATTTAAAAAAAACTGCTTATAACTGTGAGATACAACAGAAAAAATCTTACGAAAGGGATCTTATACTCAGCATTTCACATCGGATGCTTAATATAACAGAGAAATTTGGGTGCAGCGGTGAGCCTTTTGCAGAATTGGGAAGTCTAGCCACACTAGTATCTCTGCATGTCGATCATCATAGGTGCAAAAACTCAACACAACCTGGTGCTCTTTAACACGGTGCCACCGTTGTATCTGGAACCCTTGGATAGCGTAGGCCTAGGATGGCGGTTTCTTAACTTACGTGGCTACTTAAAAATAAAGGATTACTGGGACAAATATCTACATAACACATAGCAGCCAAACAAGGACTGAGTATACTAGCACCAAGCCGCTAGATTATGGTCCCGATCCGAGATTTGGATCCATTATTTTCGCGAACGAATAGAGCAAACGGCCGTGACACACGCGGACAGTTTCCTATTCAGAGAATACTTCTTGAACAAACGTCAGGGTAGTTAAAATGTCGGTTTGCATACGGACAAAGGGAAAGGACGTGCATTCGTGTTACCGAGCTCGCATATCATGACGAGACAGGGTCCCTTTTTTAGCGGAGCCCCTATTGAATACGAGGCACAGACGCCGCTCTCATGTACCAGAGAGGAGAATATGTAGAGCAACCCACTCCCAGAAAAGGTTGTTATCATTGTAGAGCAAGACAAGGAGTTACGACAGGCCAGACCATTGTTCTAGTTAACGAAACGAGTGTAAGAGTTGATCTATATGGATCGATTATGATCGTTAAGCGGTAGGAAGATGAGTTACACCGCGTCTGAAATCAAAAAATAGAATCTAGAAGTTTTGACATATGTTTTATCATTTACCACAAATATAGAAACGAGATTATTGGAGTATCAAATTTATCGAGACAGCGGACGCAATTATCATACGCGATACAAACTGAAACAATTTTGTCCAGAGTCAACCATAGTGGCCACATTCACTAGCACTAAATTCGCTAATACATCTTCTTAAGTATTGACTCAGTAATTTATTGTTCTTTAAACTTTATTTCGTTAATAATACTTTACCAGTTGTTATTAAAATAACGAGTGATAAAGAGAAGATTCTCTAATGCAGAAACTATAATAAATACACTGACAGCTTTATGCTTGAGTTGCGATTCCATTCAGTTTTCACAGCACCAATTACATGCGTTCAACAACATGAGTCTTTCTTCTCTCGCAATAGCACATGATGATTATTTGGTTATCCTTCATATCCTCGTCCACATTGAGATAGTGAATACTGAGACTAACAAAAATAAGGTATTTTTTCCTATGACTTCTTTGTATGCAGCCAATTAGTAGATGAGAGTGTGATCTATTATGTCGAAGTTTTAGCCAAATATCCCGAGTAATTTGAGACTCTCATTTGAGCATAATTTTTAAGTGTACTTTCATTGGCTATAACTTATGGCACTAAACACTTCGAGACAGACGGCCAACAATATTATTCAATAATGAAAGTTGCTGCGTCTCACAATCCATAATAAGAAGAAATCACTCACGGCCACTTGAATACATTTCTGTTTGGTCAGGGGTTAACTTCTTTCTTCATCTTTTGTGCATATAATAGCTAAGACCACTGTTTTTTTTTAGAAAAGTATATCATAGTTTATGTACCAAGTAATGGTCAGCTTAATCGGTAACGAGAGATATTGGCAACAGATTCTGTTGTTTCAAATAGTGAAGAATATATACTCTTGCTAAAGTTAGTACATACAGTTAAGCCACATTCGATCGGCTTTCCAGTAAATCAAGCCAAAAGCCCCCTTTATAAAGAATGGTTGGTCAAAAAATACTTATGCCAGGGGTGCACCAGCATTGTGTTCAATGAGTTATCGTTTTAAGACGAAGATATGCTCCCAAAGAGTTTATTAGTTTTATTATTATGTACATGTTCAGATTTGAATACTCTCCGCTAGTCGCTGGCAAACGAGAGAACATCTGGTTAAAGAAATAAACCATTGTTGTTTAAGTATGCCAAAATCATTTAAATCTGTCAAGACTGAGATATGGTCACATGAGCACAGGTTCTTCCTCATCCAAACCTGATGATTTGGTCTCTATCATAACTTTCAAAAAGTAGAGCCAACATAACATGATCCATTATCAACTACAAATGTTTAATTGGCCCTATCTATCTAATCTATGGCACATTCAACATATTTTGCTCACTTATGATTAAACTTTGGTAATCTTTAGGCGATGTAGTAATATTAAAAAACACTAAAAATATATTTGCAGTGACTTTTAATATCAATTACTTTTTGTTAAACTTCTGGTCTGAAACAAATTTTCGCCAATTAAAACAGAGACTTATGTAGAAAAAGAGACATGACCAAGCGGTCACCAAATAAGTTATGCCAGAAATTAAGATATGCCAGTTAAAAGATAGATTAAGAGAATCGCCAGAGAGAAAAGTAGGAGAAAATAGATTTTACTCTGATAAGGCTATTATGCTGGGGCAAATATATTATTCATTTATTTATCGGGTTAAGACACCCCCCTAATAATTCTGTGCTTCCTTCGAGGTTAATTTTAAAAATATTTTGCTGTCATAAACATTTGGATTCTACTTCATCACCATCTGTTGGGCCTGTTACATAAAAACCAGTATTTTTTTCTAGCCCAACTTAAGTACAATGTACATCAAATCAACAAGATTGTTCAAATGTTTCTTTGGTGCAATTCAAGGTGTTTTTCTTATAATTTACAATAGATTAAGAAATAGTTCAATTATAAAGATTTCATAACAAAATAATTTCGACGCAGACCTTTAATAGTTATTAGAGTAATGTCAGTACATAAG